TGAGTGTCTGTGTGTGTGTGTGTGTGTGTGTGTGTGTGTGTGTGTGTGTGTGTGTGTGTGTGTGTGTGTGTGTGAGTGTGAGTGTGAGTGTGAGTGTGAGTGTGTCTGTGTCTGTGTCTGTGTCTGTGTCTGTGTCTGTGTCTGTGTCTGTGTCTGTGTCTGTGTCTGTGTCTGTGTCTGTGTCTGTGTCTGTGTCTGTGTCTGTGTCTGTGTCTGTGTCTGTGTCTGTGTCTGTGTGAGTGTGAGTGTGAGTGTGTGTGTGTGTGTGTGTGTGTGATTTTTTCCCCCTCATTTATTACCACTCAAATGCTTTGTCAGTCAAATCGGACTGGATTTTCATTATTTTAAAGATGTTTTAATCTAAAGGCTTCTGCTCATTTGATTCATGCAACCTCTTGTATTATGCTTGGTAATTATTTTATCAACATTAATGCACATTAAAATAGCATGGTGTAATGTACTTGAGATTGTGACCTTAATTGAGCTGAACAAAGACAAATAATTTGAAATAAAAACGCTGATTGTGAGTTGTGCTTTGTAATGAAAATGCACATATTGTGATTCTTCTTATTCCGTTTCATGCATTTATTTGGTGCTACTGTATACTCGAGTAGTTGTTGTACTATGCCAAATTAAACCACTAGATGGCGCTGTTTCTATTCCACAGTGACAGACAGTAGTGTTAAAGGAATAGATCACCCAAAAATGAAAATTTGCTGAATTGTAGATGTAGATGAGTTTGTTTCTTTGTATTTTAGTCAGAAGCAAGGGTTTGCAGTTAAAAATGTCTTAATGATGGATTTATTTCGTTCAAAATGCAGCTTTTGGCTTCACGAGACGTTAACTGATGGACTGGAGTGCTGTGGATTACTTGTGGATAATTGTGATGTTTTTATCAGCTCTCATTCTGACGGCACCCATTCACTCACTGCATTTTATACAAATATTCAAGGTGTATACATGTATGCATTAACAAATAGGAATAAAATGCCACAAATATATAATTTTACAAGTGAACTGAACAGGTTTAATGACATTAATGTACACACAAGGCAGTACAGGACATGTGACAGGTGAAATGTTTACATTTACATCATGACACATAAATCCAAAAGAGCATAAAATAAGACATTGTGTGAGTAGTTGTGTATAAAATCGATACGGTCTGTGATTAATAAGGCCTTAGACATGAAGCATACATGGATGACATCTTTGTGGTGTTTGGATGCACTCGTTTGGAGCTTGTCCAGAGCATGCAAAAATACAGCTGCTTCTCTCATGAGATCAAACCATGTAGCACAGAGTCCATTTGCTACAAAATATTGTAAACCTATAATACATCAGCACCTGTAGTGTCCATTTCAACAGTCCAACCAGAACGAACGGCCACTGGAAGGGTGAGATCCATTCAGTCTGTGACCTTTCTGCATCAGTGAATGGGTCGTTGACTTGACATGTCGAGCTCAGAATAATGTTTCAGCACACAGACAGCTGACTGGCATCATGGATATGAATCATTACAGTTTTAATACACTTCATAACTATCACTGGGGGTTTCGATGCACTCGTACGTGTATTTAAGCAATATGATATGCAATGTGATATTGCTTTTATACAGCCATTCATATTGAGTAACTGACATTATATAGTCAGTCAAAATTATTTAAAAAAAAATATATATATATATATATATATAATGCATGATGATTGGTCAATGCAGCGTTCCAGTAGTGCTAAAATACAAGAAACAACTATAACGCAAAACGCCTTTTAGCATATCAGAAACTTTATTTTTGTTGCATAGCAACATTTAGTCAAGTCAAGGACTGTATTTTCTATCGGAATGATTGCAAGTAATATAATAATTTAACTAAAATATTAAAATAAAAGCACTGCCAACGAAAATAGTTCCTAAAGAAACCGAAGCACGATCGTGTTGCCAAGCAACACACAGCGGACTGATACAAAGAGAGAGCTTTCCAGTGATGTTTTAGGAAACTTTACGAACGCTTTTTGTCACATTATAAAAAAATAATAATAGATGACATAAAACAGACATAGTTCCGGTCCTGAATGAACGCGAAAAAGCTTTCACCTCATCACCGATTGCTAGTTGTGCTGCATAGCAATGTTGATGGTACTTAATATCATTATTTAATAATTAAAAAAATCCATTATTATAATAAAAGCAACGAAAATAGTTCTAAACGAAACCAAAACAGAATCGAACGCACAGACTGACAGCTGTCACACGTACAGGCGGACTAATATTTGGACGTTTTAGGAAAATGTTAGGAACGCTGCTTATCCAATCAAACATATAATATTTAACCACAAATAAGAAATATAGTTCCAGTCTTTCGCTATGATGCGAAACAGCGTTCGGCGTATCACTGCGCGCGTTAGCATAGCGACGTTCCGTCAAGTCAGGGACTATATCTTCTCGCGGAAGTAGACTAGTTTAATAAAATATTGTGCTTCCTTAATATTTTAGGCCGCGCTATAGCCTACACAACATCTCGTGCACTGCTGTGGAAATGTGACGTTTAACCAAACCAGAGCATGTTGTTTGTCAACCACCCAAACACTGATAGATAAAGACCGACAGAATGTCCTCTAATAAGCTTGAACTTGGTTAGGCAGCAACTGGCACCCGTTACTGACGTGGTTCATCACTCTCTGCTTTAGCTGCGCCACTTGCTCTCTCAGCACGCTCGCCGTGGACGCGAGCTCCGTGTTCTGGCTCTTCAGGTTTTTCACTTTGTCTTCCAGACGGGATATCCGCTCCAGTTTCCTCTTGCGGCATTTGGTGGCGGCGATGCGGTTGCGCAGCTTCTTCCTCTCGGCCTTGATGCGCTCCTGCGTGTCCATGTCGATGGGGGAGAGCGGAGGACTGTCGCCGAAGCTCTGCATGTCCGGCACGGTCTGCGGCTCGTCTCTTAGCGCCGGCGGCGACGGCGGAGGGAACGGAATGGTGTCCGTGGAATAGTTCACCGTGGTACTCCCGTACGCGCTCAAGTTCGTATACACGGGCAGATCCGTGGGCAAGGCGAGCGCGGTGCTGCTGGCGAGTCTGTTGAGCGTCGGAGGGACGCACGCGCCGCCGCTCAGCTGGTTCTGCTTGTGAAGGTCCTCCAGGGCTTTGACGAAGCCCTCCGCGAACTCCTGCTCGTCGCTCACCGACTTCGGGTAGACGAACTGGGAGGTCGGCGTGGTGGTCACCATCCCGTTGGCTTGAATGATCAGCCTCTCCAGCTCCGGAGAAGCCAGCTTGAGGAGCCCTAAATCGGGTGAACTGAGAATCCCCTCGGCATCCCTCAAATCTGGCTTCAGGTTGGAGCTGTTCTGGTCGTTTAGGTTCAAACTCATGTCTTTCTTCATCATACTGCGCGATATTCCTCTGAAATCCTCGCCTGGGTACGGCGTGTTCCCATCCTACACCCGACAGAGGGCTGAGCTGGGTTTGCTGTCCAAACGAGTCATTTAGATGATCTTCTTGCGTATTCTTGATTCTTCGCTTATTTTGAATCGCTTTATGATATTGTCGTCTCTCCCCTCGAGAGGTGTTATCTATGGGCGTCAGTACGCATTTGCAAGTTTTCTATCCCTAAAAATTCCATTATGTCACTTTAGAGCGCTGAGATTGGCCAAAGATGACGTCCTCTTCCGGTTTCGTTTGCATAAAGGGGCCGCGCTCGTCGCTGTGGCCGTGGAGACGGCGAACACACGGCAAACAGTGCGGTGCATTGTGGGTTGATGTCATAGCGAGGGTGGAGACACGAGGCAGTCTGGTAGAAAATGTTCCCTTGTTTTTGAACGCCTTGAAGGTCTTTGGATGCTCGATCAAGTGTTCCACTCTAGTGTTTGTTATCTGATGGAATCATCCACGCTCTCGGTGATGTCTAGTTAAGACTGTACTAGAAATAGAGCAGAATCATGAATATTTCTACATCATTTTATGAGTCCCAAATCTTAAAGCGTTGCTTATTTCCACGTTTTGAATCCAGGTTTTTCGAGACTTGTGGATCCCACTGTACATTTAAATATGTACATTATACACACACATAGAAAAGAATCAGGCCCCTTTAAAATAATCACATTTTGTTGCTTTGCAGCCTGAAGTGAAGACGGACACAGTTTTTGTTTTATCCAGCTGTATTTACTCAGTGCAACTTATAACATCCAAGTGAAAGATATAACACCAACATGTCAGGGGAAAAAAATGAATCACTGAGTTGTGTCAGTATTTGGTTGAATCACTTTTTGCTTTAATGACAGCCTTTAGTCTGTTGGGATTTGTCTCTACTAACTTTGCAATATTTGCCACTCTTCTTTGCAGAACTGCTCAAGTTCAGTTCAATCTGATGGTGAAGTTTGAGGACTGCAGTCATAGATTTTCAATGGGGTTTAAGTCTGGGCTCTGACAGGCCATACAAGCACAGTTTTGGTGTATGCTTTGGGCCATTATTGTCATGTTGGAAGGTAAACCTTCTTCTTATTGACAACTTTCTAGCAGAGGGCAGCAGATTTTCCTCATGAATTTGACGGAATTTTGCCCCGTCCATTTTTCCTTCTATCCTTTAGAATTTAAAATATTTTATTAAAATATATTATTTTAAATATAAAAAAAAATATTACATATTTTTCTCTGCCAAATGTTATGAGCATGTTATATGCTATATATAATATTTTAAATATTACTATTAAATATTTAATTTATTTTATTAAAATATAAATGTTTTATATATTAAAAAATATTAAATATTTTTCTCTGCTATATGTTTTGAGCATGTTGCATGCAAAATAAAAAATTCTAGATCTACTATATATGGTTGTTTGTCTTAAATACCTCAAAACTCATTTCATTTGATTGACCTATCATAAATCTTTGAAGGGAACTTGATAACTTTACTCAGAAATCTTGATATTGAGGGATGTGATGATGCTTAGAAGTTAAATTGAATTTATGAATTGAATTAGCTGCGTTGGAGATCCGTAGGGTTTCTATAAATAACACTGCAGGCTGTGAGTCTGAGAAAGAGAGAGAGAGATCTGAATGGGATGTGATGACGCCTGTAGACGTCTGCATCAGAGAATAGAAGCATCATCATCTGTTGCTATGGCAGCACTGACGCAGAGGCAGGTGGATCGCGCGGGTGAGGATGTGCAGCGCTGCAGTGGATACACCGCGAGTGGGTGGAAGAACACAACCATTTCCAGCATTTTTAGCTTTAGAAATTACAGCTTACAAAAGGAGGAGGAAAAATAAGAGCATACAACAGACAGTTATTACACAGAAAGATATTACACTTTATTATGTTTATTTAAAAATATATTCCTTAAAATTATGCAGTTCTCTATTACATAAACTGTTAGATTTGTACTATTAATATGCAGATCATATGATATATTAATAAAATTCAATTTTAAATAATTATTCAGTCATTTATTATTCATTTGACAAGATTGATTATATATATATATATATATGCTGTAAATGATTTCTGTAAATAAAACCGATTATTGGAGTGTTTTACAACAAAATATATTTTAGTCATTTATTATTCATTTCAGCAGATTGATTCTTGACTGCTAAATGGAAAATTGTCTTTAAAAAATATGAAATAAAATTCTTCTTCAATTCTCGTTTTTTAGATTATGGAATATGCTTTACTTCTACATTTCACATTTAACTGAGTGTGTTACTTGATTGTGAAATTTACTAGCAATTTCTGAGTGAAAATTGTTTCTACACCAATTTTTTTTCATTGTACTTTACTTATGTTTATGACAATTTAAAGATCCTAATGTAATTCAGCATTTTATATGTTATATCGTGTTGGCAACATCTTCAATTCATTTTCTCCACAATATTGGCTACAGCAGGCTGACAGCAGTCAGTGAATAAGACTGAAGGTGTCTGTCTCCATGTTAAGCGTGACTCATGAAGGAACACTGCTAATTAACTATAAACACCACAATGGGAAGTCCTTCTTTCCTCAGAAACCATCTCACGCAAACAGGTTTGAACGAGATCTCAGCTATGGGTGTTGGCACACATGTCAAAAGCACCAAACACTCCTCGGTAAACCAGGTCCATGCATGTTTGAGTGATGTTTTGTTTAGGCAAAAATCACTTAGAAGGTCAAAGATTAAAATTGGCAATAAGAATGACATTAATGTGGCACATTTGATCATGTCAACTTTATTTGATGCTAACATAAAGTGCATGTTAAGGTTCAATTATTAAGATAAAATAAATCTCTCTCTCTCTCTCTCTCTCTCTCTATATATATATATAATTATTTTAGTTAACTTTAAGAAACTAGATCTTAGACAAGAACAAATTTAAAAAAAAATTCACTAAGAAATTGCAAGTAAATTTTCCGCTTGATCATATTCCATCTCATCTCCTTCAAGCCATTTCTCCTGCAGTTGTACCTGCACTCACTCACATCATTAACACATCCCTTCACACTGGTGTTTTTGGTGGACATTCAACCGCCTTGCTCTCAGTTGTTGAAGCCCTAAGACTGGCAAGAGCGGCTTCCAAATCTTCAATACTTAGCTTGCTGGATCTATCCGCTGCTTTTGACACGGTTAACCACCAGATCCTCCTGTCAACCCTACTGGCAAAGGGCATCTCAGGAACCACACTCCAGTGGTTTGAGTCTTATCTCTCAGATAGGTCCTTCAAAGTATCTTGGAGAGGTGAGGTGTCCAAGTCACAACATCTAACTACTGGGGTGCCTCAGGGCTCAGTACTTGGACCACGCCTCTTCTCTGTCTACATGGCATCACTAGGTTCTGTCATTCAGAAACATGGCTTTTCATATCAGCCAGAAACCTTGGAGTTGTGATTGATGATAAGCTGAATTTCTCAGACCATATTGCTAAAACTGTCCAGTCCTGCAGATTTGCTTTATACAACATTAGGAAGATCAGGCCCTTTCTTTCAGAACATGCACACCTCCTTGTTCAAACTCTTGTTTTATCCAGACTGGACTATTGCAATGCTCTCTTAGCAGCTCTTCCAGCCACTTCTATCAAACCTCTACAACTAATCCAGAATGTCGCAGCAAGAGTAGTCTTTAACGAGCCAAAAAGAGCGCATGTCACACCTCTGTTCATCAATTTGCACTGGCTACCAGTAGCTGCTCTCATTAAATTCAAGGCATTGATGTTTGCGTACAAAACCACCACTGGTTCTGCACCCCTTTACCTAAATTCACTTCTTCAGAATTATGTTTCCCAAAGAGGCACACAATCACTTTCACTGACTTTTACATTAACTGTTCCCTGTTAATTCCCTGAGTGACCTGCCCAACTCAATCCGAGCAACCAAGGTGAAGCCTAAGGTCAAGTCCTTAGCCATCTTCAAGAAACTGCTAAAAACACATCTCTTCCATCTTCATTTGACCCTCTAACTCTAGCACTCTCTATTTTAATTCTTAATCCAGAATGTCGCAGCAAGAGTAGTCTTTAACGAGCCAAAAAGAGCGCATGTCACACCTCTGTTCATCAATTTGCACTGGCTACCAGTAGCTGCTCTCATTAAATTCAAGGCATTGATGTTTGCGTACAAAACCACCACTGGTTCTGCACCCCTTTACCTAAATTCACTTCTTCAGAATTATGTTTCCCAAAGAGGCACACAATCACTTTCACTGACTTTTACATTAACTGTTCCCTGTTAATTCCCTGAGTGACCTGCCCAACTCAATCCGAGCAACCAAGGTGAAGCCTAAGGTCAAGTCCTTAGCCATCTTCAAGAAACTGCTAAAAACACATCTCTTCCATCTTCATTTGACCCTCTAACTCTAGCACTCTCTATTCTAATTCTAAAAAAAAAACAAAAAAACTTGACCCTAACACTTGCACTCTCTATTCTATTTCTATTCTTACTACTTCTTTTTTTTTTTTTTAAAGATAGCCTCTGACACTAGCATTCTCTATTCATTTTCTATTCTATTTTCTTGTTTTCTTGTTATTTATTATTAAAAATGACCCTCTAACACTAGCGTTCACTATTCTTTTTCTATTCTATCTACTTGTTTTTCTTTTTATTTATAAAAAAAAAAACCTTGCTATGTGTACTGCGTTAGGCGCACCGAGACCTGTCACAGCACTTACATATTATTGCCCTTTTGTTAGTTTTGACTGCTTTTATTGTCCTCATTTGTAAGCTGCTTTGGATAAAAACATCTGCTAAATGACTAAATGTAAATGTAGTAAATTTCACAAATAATTAAAGAATTGTCAAGTAACAGCAGTTTTGAAGTTTAAAAACTGGAAAAAAATATATTTTTGTAAAACCTACTCCTATGAAAACTCATTTTTACAGTGAAATTGTAAAATATTGAGAATTTAGTTTCAGATTTTTTAAAAACATGTATTATGCACACACACACAAACACACACACACACACACACATACACACACATACACACACACACACACACAGTGTGTTTAAGGTAACGTTTAAAAAAATTAATTTAGGAAATCTGGGAACATTTAGGAAAAACAAACAGGAAATCTGATAAAAGTATAGACATTAATAACACTCTTAAATGTATGCAATATTCAGTAATTTTTGCTCTAAATGCATAAGTTTAGACAGAATTTCTCAGTCATTGCCTTGTCCAGCTGAGAGGTAGACATAAATAAATTATAAAAAAAGAGAAAATATAGCTCTTCAATGATTTATATAACGCGGTGAATTAAATATATTTTTTTTTTGACATTTCTAGTATTTATTGACTAAATAATTGCCGAGGGCGAACACAGCCGGAGCGACAGGTGGCGCTGTTGTCCCGCGGCAGCGCTGATCTCGGTTCAGACAGCGAGAGGAAGAGCAGGAGCGTGATGTACAGTTATATCTCGATTGACACTCTACTCTTAATAAATCACTCCAGATGATAGGAAGACATGAATCTGGTCAATGTAATCATTGTGGACTTCCAGAAACTGTAGAGCATGTGCTGATTAACTGTAGGGCATATGAAAGGGAAAGAATCTGCCGGCATTCATTCTATGACATTACAGAATGTGTTAAACAGTTCTCATAAAGGTTATAAAGCTCTTATTAATTTTCTGAAAAGAACAAATGTATATAATAAAATATAGGTGGAAGAATTGAAAAAAAAAATTTGTAATTGACCCTTTTCACAAGACTGGTGATGCGTTTAACGGTCATCAGCATCGTAAATCCTCGAAAGTTTTTCATATTTGTATTTTTTTTTTATGTATGTACATTTATAACACTATTCTTTGCATTATATCACCTTTGCATCAAATTCCCCCCCCCCCAAAAAAAAAACAGTTAACGCTAATGCGAGGGTGTTTCTAATGCAGCGTCTATGGGAGGGACGATAAATTTGACTCTCTCAGTTGTTTTCCTTTTATTGAACGTCATGAAAACACTATCGTGGAGTTTTTCTTTTGCTATTTGAGCCAATGGAAATGCAAAAAATATATTTGTGGTATTCTCCCACTTCCGCTGCTGAGAAACCCGGAAATGTGAAAAAGGTCCAATCGCCTCACACTCCATCCCAGTAGGTGGCGCCAAAAGCTGGTTTGCCAACCGCCATAAACACAAAAGAAGAAGAAGAAGAGCATGATCGTGGTGTGTTGTGTTTATGTCTGTTTGTGAAGCTCTCGTCTGATGATCGCTGTTCTGTTATCGCCTCACACTCCATCCCAGTAGGTGGTGCCAAAAGCTGGTTTGCCAACCGCCATAAACACAAAAGAAGAAGAAGAAGAGCATGATCGTGGTGTGTTGTGTTTATGTCTGTTTGTGAAGCTCTCGTCTGATGATCGCTGTTCTGTTCTTGATCCAAACTCTCTCATTTCTCAGCGATGGAGCAGAAGAAGACGGTTATCGTGACAGGTGAACTCTGATGGCAGTGTTGATGGCTCGTGTGAGTCTTGTGTCAGTTTGAAGAGTTTTCTAGTGACAGCTGATTTCATGCAAATGATCAACATTAAAACTGAAAGTCGTTTGGCACTAAATACAAGACTCATAAAACACATATTTATTTATTTACCACTACCCAAAACTATGGGGAAGTACCATGGTGTTGGTAAAAAAATATTGAACACCGTGTCGTGTTTTATTTTATTTGATTCTATTCTATTCATTTTATTAATTTAATTACTTTTTCTGCATATGTAGTATTGTGCTCATGTTTTTTCTTTTCTTTTACAATTACCATGATTCTAGTATTTTATTTATTTTTTTACATTTACTATGGTAATACTATAATTTAATTTTTTTAAGTTTTTGTATTTACAAAATATGGTTTTTGGGACATCTGCCGTGTATGTTTTTTGACGATGTTTGAATTTGTTTTAGCATTATGTTCTTTTTAGAATTGTGGAGTCAGCTTTATTTTTAGCATTATTTATATACTGTTATATTTTTTAAGCTATATTTTGACATGAGCATTTATTTTATATTTTGAGTTGTAATTTTCGGTAAATGTCTTAGTACTTTTTATGTGCCTTTTTCATTCTTATTCGTTTTTGCTGTTGGTTTAGTTTATTTTATTTCGGATTTAGTTTTAGTCTTTATTTATTTTTAGTAAGTAATTTTAGTATTTTAACATAAATTTGTTTCAGTTACTTATCACAGAATCATTTCTGATTTTCATTTAGTATATTTATTTTATTTCAGCTCTATTTCAATTAACAAAAATGTTTTTAATAATTTTAGTTTTATGATAATTACCCTGTTTGGAGTATATGAAAATGTATTCAGTACCATCATTTCCATAATGTAATATATAAATACCTTTTTATATGTAACGTTTTTCCCCTAATTTAGCTTATATATATATATATATATATATATAATAAATAATAGAGTTTCATTTGACTCTGGGTTCTGTATTTGTACTGTTCAGGTTATTGATGGCAGCATCTCGTCTGAAACTCAAATGCAAGAGTTACTGATCACATGCCGTTTAAAGCAGGATCAGATCTTGGACTCTGGACTGCAGGGTTTAGATTTTGCTGACTTCAGCGTCCTGAAAACCTATTGAGTTTAAAGGGTGTGTTGTGTGTAACAGTCCGTTATAAAAGAGATAAGTTGATGGTAATGTCCAGTCGGCTGAATCTGAGGGGTCTCGAGTCACTCTGAAGGGGTTTTTAGGTGATAATGACTAGATTATTGCGCTTTATTTATCCTATGGCTACTTGCCAAATAAATAAATAAATACATGAAATATTAATCTGAGTTGAAATGATCTTATTATGTGAGAAGAAAGCGAGAGTGATACAAGAGACTTACCCGAGACAATGATCAATTATTCAGTTCAGTGTCATAATCTAAAATGTTTGACCAATCAGAATCAAGTATTCAGAACGCCCTGTAATAAGACATCTGCCATATGATTGTGTTTCTCTGTGTTCCTGTAGGCTTTGAGCCGTTCGGTGAACATGCTGTCAATGCCAGCTGGGTGGCAGTACAGGTATGATATTCACACCCGTATGAAATAAGCAGAGCAGATCAACTATGAGCTGTACTTACTGTTTGTTCACATGCATCTGCATGACTTTAACATAAACATGTCCTCTTGTCAGGAGCTGGAGAAACTGGGTTTGGGTCACGATATAAACCTTCATGTCGCTGAAGTTCCTGTGGAGTATCAGGCGGTCCAGAGTCTTCTGCCGTCTCTATGGAAACAGCACCTTCCTCAAGTAGCATAACGATATCATGCTTGTGTTGTTTTGTTAGTGATGCTAAATGTTTACAGAGTGTTATATAAGTAAAGTTATTTATATATTTATATATATATGATCAGTTATTCTCTGTTTGCTGTATTTATTGTGCTCTGTACTAGTGTAAATTTATATAATAAAATAATAAAGAAATAATAATAATGTGCTAATATTTATATATATGATATTTACTGTATATACAATTAATATTGTATTTAATATGATTCATATAATTCTTGGTCTGTGTACACATACAGTAAAACCCTAAATTGTATTTATTGCACATTATTTGTTTAGAAATAATGATAAATTCATTAATTTATCTTAATCTACATGTATTATAATATCATATGTCATATCATACACTGGCGACCAAAAGTTTGGAATAATTAAAAGTTTTAATATTTTTGAAAGAAATCTCTTCTCACCGATATTGAATTTATATGTTAAATACAGTAAAAAGAGTAATATTGTGAAATATTACAATTTAAAATAGCTCTCAAATGTGAATATATTGTCAACTGTAATTTATTTCTGTGATGCGCAGCTGTATTTTCAGCATCATTACTCCAGTCTTCAGTGTCACATGATCTTCAGAAATCATTCTAATATGCTGATTTGCTGCTCAAGTAACATTTCTGATTATTATTAATGTTGAAAACAGCTGTGCTGACAAATACTTTTGTGGAAAAAAATTAATTCAAACAAATGAGTGTTTTTTATTTATAATAATATTTCACAATATTACTGCTTTTTACGGAAGAGGATTAGGGCCAAGCCCTAATATAATAATAAAACCATCTCGAGATTAAACTCATTAAATTTCGAGAATAAAGTCGTTATGTTTCGAGAAAAAACTCGTTATATTTAAAGAAAAATATGTAAATAAAATGTTGAGAATAAACTCATTAAATTACGAGAAAAAAGTAGTTAAATTGCGACTTTTTTCATTTTATCTCGACTTTTTTTCACGCAATTTAACAACTTTTTTCTCGTAATTTATTCTCAACATTTTATTTTGACTTTTTTTCTCGAAATTTAACGATTTTTTTCTCGAAACACAACGACTTTATTCTCGAAATTCAACTGGCTTAATCTCAACATTTTATCTCGACTTTTTTCTTGAAATTTAACGAGTTTTTTCTCCAAATTGAACGACTTTAATCTCGAGATGCTTTTACTTTATTTTTCAACAAAAAAATGCAGTCTTGGTGAGTAGAAGAGACTTCATTAAAAACATTTAAAAATCTTAATCATTCCAGACTTTTGGCCGCCAGTGTATATAATAGAACTAATGATTAATCTTTCTAATTTAGGAGTACATTTCATCAATAATTATTTTTTTAAATTACTGTAAAAAAAAATATATATATTTTTTTTTCCTGCTTTTTCAAAGTTAGTGGTCCATGTCGGAGTGTCCGGGATGGCCACTACAGTAACGCTTGAACAGTGTGGGCATAATCAGGGTTACATGCGTCTCGACAACTGCAGTTTCTGTCCAAAATCCCGCTGCTGTTTGGAGGGAGGACCGGACTGCATTCATTCTGTCATCGACATGGACACGGTCTGTAAGAGACTCAACTCCTCTGGGCTCGGCGTCTCTGTGTCTGTATCAAAGGACGCCGGCAGGTATGGACATTTCTCTTACATGCAGTGAAAAGCTCTTTAATGTACACTCATGGTCATACGTTTACATACACCTTACAGAATCTGCAAAATAAATAAGGAAAGAACCATAAAAAGTGCAAGTTGTGTTTTGTTGGGTACTGCCATGAATTTCACATAACAGATGTTTGCATATAGTCCAAAGGTTGATTTAGACTGGCTAATGAGGATTTATTGAAGGGCAGTGAACCACCAAAATGTCCATTTTGTTGCACTAACTCATCTGTAAAACGTGTTTTGATCTGTCTGATGATTTTTAATGTCATGAGACAACGATTTTTTTTTATCAGGACAAGCTTTGAAGGACTTGTACAAATTTTATCACAAGTATATTTAAAGATTCTTTTATAGAGTTTTATAGAGAAAAATGTTGTTTTTTTTGTATGTTGAATGAATTTAATAAAATGTTCATATTTATTTGAGTTGTTTGTTGAATATGTATCTGCCATGTTATAACCTGTGAAAGTGATATGGCAATACATAAAACCAACCAACAACCTTAAAACAGTCCGAATGAATCCAATCTGATTTTAAATATGAGAACTGTGCATCCTGAATCCAGCCTGTATTAAAATGCTGATTGACTCTTAATAGAATAGTTCACTCAAAAATGAAAATTTGCTGAAAATCTACTCACCCTCAGGCCATCCAAGATTAGGATGAGTTTGTTTCTTCATCAGATTTGGAGAAATGCAGCATTGCATCAGTGTCTCAGCAATGGATGCTCTGCAGTGAATGGGTGCCGTCAGAATGAGAGTCCAAACAACTGATAAAAACATCACAATAATCCACAAGTAATCCACACCACTCCAGTCCATCAGCTAACATCTGGAGAAGACAAAAGCTGAAACAAATCCATCAAGACATTTTTAACTTCAAACTAGCTAAAATATGAGTCCATAATCCATAATAACGCTTCGTCCAGTGAAAAAGTGGTCTGGTCTGAATCAGGAGAGAAATCTGCACAGATCAAGCACCGTTTACAACAGTCCAAAACAGCTCTAAACAAATATGTGGCTGGATTTTGATGTGAGAGACAACAGGAGATGGACTGTTTCACTGGAGGAACCGTTATTATGGATTATGGACTCATATTTTAGCCAGAAGCAACGGCTTGAAGTTAAAAATGCCTTGATGGATTTGTTTCATACAATCACACAATGTTTGTCTTCTCAAGACATTAACTGATGGACTGGAGTGGTGTGGATTACTTGTGGATTATTGTGATGTTTTTATCAGCTGTTTGGACTCTCATTCTGACGGCACCCATTCACTGCAGAGCATCCATTGCTGAGACACTGATGCAATGCTACATTTCTCCAAATCTGATGAAGAAACAAACTCATCCTAATCTTGGCTGGCCTGAGGGTGAGTTCATTTCTAGGAAATGTTTATTTGGGTGCAGAGCACTGGTGTATTTCTTGACAAACACTCCGTCCTCTTTCCGCAGGTATCTGTGTGATTACACCTACTACAAGTCTCTGTTTCTGGGCGAGGGCAGGTCTGCGTTTGTGCATGTTCCTCCTCTAGGGAAGCCCTACAGCGCGGAGCAGCTCGCTCAGGCCCTCAGGGCCGTCATCCTGGAGATGCTTGAACTGATGGAGCACAACAAGGGAAATTCACTCTTGGACTCAAGAGTTCATGCACATTTGAAGACATCCGTGTCTTAACTTGTGTGCTACATACTAGGATCAATCAGCTGGTTTAAGATGCAACTTGTGTGCTAGACTCAATCCTACGGCTGCGTTCAAAGAGTCAAGAAAGCACTTTAATGGGGTACACTTGAAACATGCAGAGATTTGGTATTATGCATAAAAAAGACTTAGAAATACCGTTCTGATGTGAAAACACTACGTATACATGTAGATCTTTGAACCATATTTCGAAAATGATTTTTTTTAAACAGTTAAGGCAGAACTAGCGTTTTCTCTTGCTGTCTTATTTCTAAAATCATTGTTCACCGGATTAAATATTAAGCCATTTAAACCAGGGTTATTATAATTAATCAGATTAAAATTTAAAACAATTAAACATTTTGTTACTTTTGTTAATAAACATTAACTGAAAAAAAATCCATCTAGTTAGTTGCCTGGCAACATTTTTAATTTTCATTTAGTTAAACGTAATGCACTAAAATAACTAAAATTGTAATAAAAAGTATCAGAACTATATAGACATATTTTTTAAAAATGACAAAAATACAACTAAAGTACTACAACTAAAATTAAAATAAAATGGAAATAATAATAAAATAAAAACTCATTCAAAATATTAAAAACTATATAGACATATTTTTAAAAAATATATGAAAATGGCTCATATGGGCTAAATTACTAAAACACATAAAATGAAAATGGACAAAATATTTAATTTAAATTAAATTAAAACTAATATTAAAATATTAATAAAATCTATATATACATTAAAAAATGTAAAAAAAACTAAAACGTTAACTAAAATTAAAATGAAAACAGAAAATACAAAAATGAAAACTATGGATATTAAAAATATTTAAGAAATAATAATAGCAAAAAGCATCTAAATTACTAAAACTTTAGCAAAAATGAAAATGGAAACATGCACAAAACTAATTAAAAATGTTAATTAAAACTATAATAGTATTTCAATGATAGTTAAATAATACTGTTTCAAACACGTCTCTATCATCTGCAGTTTTCAGTTATACCCCGAACACACACTGGACAGAAGTATAAACATTATTACAGTTTATTTGATCACAGAGTGAAGAGCAGGTCTAAAGGGTGGGTTTGTAGAGGAGACCTAAAATTATGACCAATTAAAAGCTATGGTCTGCCTGCTGGACAGTGATAAAAGAGATAATAACCATGTCTGTCTGGTTATTAACGTGCCAATGTGAATACACAGACTTTAGGATACAAGCATCAAATCGAAATATGTTTTTCCTCATTTCAAGCCCATTATGTACAGGGTCCCACATAAAACACAAAGACACCTGAACCTGATGCCTTCTGAGTAATGTAAGGTTGAATTCTATCAGCACTGTTAAGTTTATATGAAATGTGAAATCGTGAGATGATTGTAAGGTGATGTTTGTCTTCTCTCAGCGGACGTTATTCAAGATTTTCTCCTTACATTTCTTTCATACTCTGCAAAATGCTGCATATCATATTATTTTATATTACACCATAATTTCTCAGTCCATTAATTGATATTATAAAATGTAATTTGAATTGCGTATGACTTTTCTTTAGCTTGTTTTTCGAAGGTTTTTACTGGAATCTTATCGATCACAAACCCAGTGGACCAAACTGATGATGCTGTGAATCTTTTTTAATGTTGCCTAAAAACACTTTTCAGCATTTCTTTGTTTCCATTGACCCATTTTATTGTATTAAATGTTCTGATATCTATTACACTGGTGATTATTATGTATGCATTATTATTCCCACATTCACGTGGACACTGTTCTTTCTCTTTATGTTGCGTTTCCTTATTTGCCACAACTTTTTTTTACAAGCTGTAGCTCTCAATAAAAGATTTCTGCCTTATTTTTAATAGTTGTTTTTTATTCCAAAATCTTACATTTCTAAGATAAATTTATATTATAAAGATACATTTATATTTATATTATACATTTATATACACTGCGGTGCAAAAGTTTGGGGTCAGTAATTTTTTTTTTTTTTTAATAAATTAATACTTTTATTCAGTAAGGATGTGTAAAATTGATAAAAAGTGACAGTCAAGACTTATATTGTTACAAAAGGTTTCTATTTCGAATAAATGCTGTTCTTTTTAACGTTTTATTCATCAAAGAATCCTGAAAAAAGTATCACAGGTTCCAAAAAAAATATTAAGCAGCAAAAATTGTTTCCAGCATTGATAATAAATCAGCTTATTCTGAAGGATAATGTGACACTGAAGACTGAAGTAATGATGCTGAAAATTCAGCTTTGCATCACAGAAATTACATTTTAAAGTATATTAAAATAGAACACTTATTTTAAATTGTAATAATATTTCACAATATTACAGTTTTTTTTTCTGTATTTCTGATCAAATAAATGCAGCCTTGATGAGCAGAAGAGACTTCTTTAAAAAGTAATAAAAATCTTACTGATCCCAAACTTTTAAACGCCAGAGTGTATGTAATAAAAATATCATAATTTAGAATTAATAATCTTAAATGTATAATAATTTCCATTTGCCAATGTATAATAATTTCTAATTATAATAATTTACAGTTAATTTTAATACACAGAAAGTATGCGATCACTAGTGAAAAGTTTTATGTTTTAAAATTATACAACAGTTATAGATGGAGCGGATCTTGTGACTTTAGCACACTACACATTCACATAGTTAGTGTATTATATTGTCTTTATTTTGACTTTTGCAAAACCAAAGCCGGCTTTATTTGGGCCAAATAGTTTTCATAAAATGCATATAATATTTCAGAAGAGCTAAGCCTCCATTTGTAAAGAATTTCTCATTAATAGAAGCTGAATGGTCTCTAAGCAATTTATTTACAAAACAAAACAGCCCTTTTCCTGCAAAGCAGCAAGTGTGTGTAGACGTCAGCGCTTCTGTGCGCTCTACGTCGGTTGCGCTCGCCCGTGACGTCACTTGAGTGGGAGTCGAATCTTCTCCGGAATCGCTTGCTTTCATTTCTGCACGAGTCCGTCGCGCGCGCGCCGTTTCCCTCGCTTCACTTCGAACCAAAACAAACGTCGCCCGACGCGCCTCGGTCGGTCATCTACCCCGCATCGCTGAGGGATTATTCGGTGTTTTCTGCGAAAAGGCGGCCAGTACAGCCAGAGAAAAGATGAGTGTGGAGGCGTACGGGCCGAGCTCGCAGACGCTCACCTTCCTGGACACGGAGGAAGCGGAGCTGCTCGGGGCCGACACGCAGGGCTCCGAGTTCGAGTTCACCGACTTCACGCTGCCCAGCCAGACCCAAACGCAGGGCCAGACCCAGAGCCAACTCGACAACCAGGTATAAACACACAAAACACACAATCGAGCGTTCTGTCAGGCGGCCCGGAGCGCGTTTGTGTCCAGATGTGGCGAGCTAGCAGGCGTTAGCCGCGCGGTAGCGTTAGCAACGAGAGAGCAGGCCGCCTGAGAGAGAGAGAGAGAGAGAGTTGTCAGAGGCACTTTTATGAACTACATTAGTGTTTTAACAAAGTTAGTTTGCTAATAAATTAAACTAAATACAGTAGCTCTTATGTTGTTGTTTGTAATGATGAAATGTGTTACGTCAGATCGTTTGTTTTGGTTGGTTAATTAGCTGCAAATCTCAGGTGTGTTTGCGTTCTTTCAGAGGTACTACGTTGGTGTTAAACTAATTTACTTCAAATATTAAACAGCATCTTATAGCAGCTTATTCTCAGAGATTGATGTTATTACAGATAGCTTGAGTTAGCTACAGCTGACGTGTGTTTTTGTTTACTGTATTGATGTTATAATAAGAGGTTTATTAACTATTTTGGTGTTATAATAACATGCATCTTATTTGATCTTTGACATACGTGGTGTATTGTTTATGTCTGTTTATCTCACATTTACACTGCTGTTCAAAAGTTTGGGATCAGAAAGATTTTTAATGTGTTTTAAAGAAGTCTGTTCTGCTCACCGAGGCTGCATTTATTTGATCAGAAATACAGAAAAAGCTGTAATATTGTGCAATATTATTGCAGTTTAAAATAAGGGTTTTCTATTTTAATATACTTTAAAATGTAATTTATTTCTGTGATCAAAGCTGGTTTTTCAGCATCATTACTCCAGTCTTCAGTGTCACGTGATCTTCAGAAATCATTCTAATATGCTGATTTATTATCAATGCTGGAAACCGTTTTGCTGCATAATGTTTTTTTGGAACCTGTGATACAAGAATGTGATACGTTTTACAGGATTCTTTGATGAATAAAGTTCAAAAGAACAGCATTTATTTAAACTATATTGCAATAATATTTCACAATATTACAGTTTTTTTTCTGTATTTCTGATCAAATAAATGCATCCTTGATGAGCAGAAGAGACTTCTTTAAAAAAAACATTACAAATCTTACTGATCCCAAACTTTTGAATGGCAGTGTATATTGATGTTATAATAATGATGTGATGCAGAGGTGTTTGAGATGTTTATTAACTATTTTGGTGTTATAATAACATGCATCTTCTTTGATCTTTGACACACGTGGTATATTATGTCAGTAGTTTATCTCACATTTATGTGTTTCAGAAGGACTTTTGTGAACTACACCTGTTTTATAAAAGCATGTTTGATTAGAGGGGTTGCTTTTGTATGGTAATTGTAACCTGGAGGTGTGATTTAAATGTAAATTATATTATTAAATTGTTGTTATGTTTGCTTTAATAATAAGGTGTGTTTTTGTGCATGAGCTGCAGCTTTCAAAATTGTGTTTTCAGACTTTTGTTAAGTATATGCTGCAGACTCAGAGTAAGTCTCCGTAAACCAGGTGTGCATTTGTACTTGATTTAGCTGTGTTTCTGCTGGTGCACATTGCAGATGTGTTTGATTTGAGGGTGAAATGTGCACTGGATTGTACAATTTGAGATTTGTTTGTAAGGTGAAATGTTTTGTGTTCAGGTGAACGGGCCTGATGGCGTTCTGCCCAACGGAGAGGATGCAGTGGTGAAGACCAGCCAACTTCTGGCCGAGCTGAACTTTGAGGAGGATGAGGAAGATACTTACTACACTAAAGACCTGCCGGTGCACGCCTGCAGGTACTGATGACACACCTGCCCTGATCTCATACGCCATAATCATGTGTCTGTAACTGTGAGAGCTATACAATAATGCACAATTCTCTGAAATACTTGCCTCTGATTGCTCACTCACAGTATTCTTTGTGTAATGACACTGTGCTGTATAAGTGACAGTTTTCCCAGGCAACTTATTTATACAAAAGATGATGCATCACCCCTCTGATTGTACATTATGCTTGATGTAGGTCTTTTGTTTTTGAAGTAGTTATTTATTAGCCAGATTTTAGGTTATAA